TTTTAAACAGGTCGTTATGGCCCTGGCTCCATTTCCATTCTGGGGAAGGGAGCATCAGTCCGGTTCCTATTCCTCCGACAAGTGCGAACTAAGTATTACATCATGAAACACACTCACGCTTCCTTCCGTCTGGCCAAAGGAACCCTGACGGTCCTGACCAGCATTGATTACTCCAGCATCATGGAGAATCGACTGTCAGCTTGCCTTACTTCCACCTTCACCTTTCCTCTCAGGTCCACTGTAATGTAGCTCACAGAAACAAAGGGCCTCAGGTACATGTTGAATGCTCTGTAGGGGAGAGCAAGGCCCATAGTTAATGCCATTCCCACAGAGACAGCCTCGTCCTCTGCACTGGGCATTATATTCGAATAGACCGCCCAGGCGTTATATTTGGATGTGCCATGGGCCGAGTGCCTTGCAGAGGAAGTATATATCAGTTCTGAAGGGGTTTGAAAGGGGTTTTGACTTCCAACGGGTATGTTACCAGTGTTTTGGTTTTATCATTTTATGTTTCCTCCCCCCCCCCCCCAAATTTATACGGAATTCTGAAGCGACTGCACAGAAAATGAGCAAGACCGATAGACAGAAAACCGAATCGCACTATCACATTGAACACCAGATCGTCGTGTACCAAGCAGATAGCAATAAGCACCGAGTTACAAGAGGAAAGCACCCTCCTTTTTTTATTTTTATTTTTTTTTGAATGAAAAGCACCCTATTTTTAGCTTTTCGTCTTTTGCAGAAGGCCCCAGAACAAAAAACATCTTAAGAAAAAAAAGAAAAATGTAGATCCGATTTTCAGAAAGAAATTACAGGGACTTTGGGCCTTGCTCCACTACTCACCAAATGTGCAAAATGAGAATGAATCTTCCCCTAGAACATGGGAAGATACACCGTGGTGAGTAATTGAGCGACGCCTATATCCTCCCTCCAAAGGAAACCGGTTCTTTGTTCTTTTTTCTTTTTTCTTTTTTTTTGACCGACATCTTCTCATTTTTTTTCGTTTTGGCAGAAGGGCATGACTGTGTCCTTCCAATGCGCCCGTACATTCCCAGGATTGGACGCTGTGTGCATTCCCACGAAAAACAAACAACAGGAACCAAAAAAAAAAAAAAACGAGAATCCCGATTTCAGAAAGGAAACAGCACCTATCAGAAGAGGCACCTGCAACAGATCCCGAGACTGTTTCTTTCCAGTCACTATGCCCGTTGGCATAAGGACCCGCCAAAAAAAAAAAAA